GACCTCATTCAGCCAACATGCGCACAGAATAAATCCTCGTGTCCCTGTCTTCTGATCATCTCGATGGACACTCTAGGACAGGTCTGACCACTGGGAAACTCTTAAAACTCGGCCGTCCTGCAGTTAGCCAGACCATAACACACCTGAATAACTGAAGCTGACAGTTGGGTCGCCACCCGTCCCTTAATCCAGAATCGTCCCGTATTTGAGAATGAAATTGCGTGTCACGTTTTGAATCAGTAGGGGACGGGTTCTGACCCATACTTTCATCATATTTTTTAAAGTAGCAGACGCATTTACTGATTGGGTAATACCTGACCTCATCCTTAGTTTGATTGGTCTTTGTCCAGTGAGGAGGGTGGGTCTTTAAAGCAGTCTGTCATGTCTTGACCGGGTAATGGCAGATACTTCTCCAGGTAAAATAAAGAATAATAATATCTGTATTTAATATTAACTGAGTAAACAATGTCAACAGCTGAAATCACAGTGAAATAAAGGCCACAGTCAAACTTTATCTCAGCAGTAGATGTGGCCTGGTTTTCACACACTGGGTCACGCGTTGTAATTTGTAAACATTCTGTAAATACGCTGAAAGTGGATCATATTCCAATGCAAAATTATGATTTGGATAAGGTTAAGTCAGGCATATAAACATTAATTAAAACCATAAAACATTACATTTAATACATTAATAAACAACATCATGCCCATGTGAAGAAAATAAACTAGTAAATTGCAGCTATCCTTATTTTTTAATTATAATCAGGCTATATGAACACTTTACTAGCTGATGTTTGTCTCTAGTTTATGCATGTGCTGTGTCCATGTCTGGATAGGTGTTACTGCAAATATTAACACATATTTTAGCCAAAATCTGTTATCAAACCCATTAAAATTAGGTTAGTATGTTCTCCTCTCCTCTGGGTTCCAGCAGGTGTATTAAACACAACATCAGCTATATCAGTGCTGCAGAGTTGTAGAAGAGAAGGACTGACTGCATCTGTTTACAGACTTCAATAAAAGAGGGTGTATTTTAATGTCCAAGTGTTCGGACTTTCCTGAAAACATATATTTAGTTGCGATTTAAAACCACTGACATGCTATTGTGGATGTCCCCGCTGGAGTATGCGACCTTTTTTTGTATTAAAAGTGGTACATAGATACCACCATACATTTTTTTTTCATAGATATATCTATCTATGAAGGTGGTAGCTAACAGGCTAATCCTGACACAGGCTAATAACACGACACCGGCAGCGGGAGTGCAGGAATGTCCGTCAGTACCTCTCATTATCCCATGGGTCTACAGTGACCGGTCAAGCTTATTTTTCTAATCTATTTTAAAGCTTGTGCATCAGAGGGTTAGGGCAGTGTTTCCCTCCACCGATATAAAGTTTAATGCTGTCATCATGGCCCGTCAGTTTGAGCTGCTGTAAGCGTGTGTGGCCACTGTACGTCGCTGCAGCGCGGTGTGACCGAATTCACCTGAGTGTGACGCTGGACAGGGTTTGACCAAACTGAACCAAGGCCGTGTAGAGGAGATCGAGTGCACTGAACATGTTTGATTAGAGAGCGCTTCCACAATACCCTCAAAGTGCTCTATTTACAGCCACTGATGCTGCAATGCAGCAATAATTCATCTTTAATACTAATTAAAGGAAACTTGAGATGGACTGCTATTGTCACACCGTTAAGTTGACCTGAAACTACTTTTAATATAGTTAGTTCAAAGATGCAGATGTTCTCTCCGGCAGTTTAGTATAATACTCACTCTGCTGCTGTTTGACCAAACTCAAGCATGCTTCATGTATTATTACAGCATACAGCGTCTTTTATGCACTTTAAATATACTAATAGTGCAAGAATACACTTATAAATATTTACAATATTACAACACAATGACAAAATAAATCCGTCATGACTTATTTTTACCTTTATTATGAACACACAGTCAAAACAATCAAACAACTGAAGAGAGCAGGTCATTTCTATACCTGCACACACTGACACACTCAGGTGATGAGCGCAGGTTTCCACAGGCCACAGTATGATCTGACAGAGTTTCAGACTGGTGGTGTCGTGATTCTGCAGACTCTCCACATACACTCAGTCCAGCAGCTGCTGCTGTCCTCACGGCTCCACACAGGGGTCCTGACCAGTGTCTGGTGAGATGGAGAAACAGCCCAGAGAAATGTGCTTTACACATGTTGTGTGCTCATGTGGCCAGTTTATTGCTCACTTGATGTATTAATTATGCATTTTCTAATCATTGTTGATCTCACACCCAGAGAAAACCCACACTAACACGGGGAGAACATGCAAACTCCACACAGAAACACCAACTGACCCAGCCGAGACTCGAACAAGTGACCTGAGTGCTGTGAGGCCACAGTGCAAACCACTGAGCCACCGTGTCGCCCAGTTTCACTCCAGTAAATGTATTTGGCCTCCGCCCACCTCCAGCTTGATCAGTTCATGATGTCCTGTACAGTGGTAAAACATATGCTGGATAAGTTGGCGGTTCATTCTGCTGTGACGACTACAGATTAATAAAGGGACTAAGCCAAAAAGAAAATGAACAAATGAATGAATAATGTTTTTACTAGTGTAATGGCCAGGCACCACACGCACGAGCCCGCGAAAAAACACGCAACAAAAGCGAAGTCGTTGATAGGACTACAGTTCCCAGAGTTCATAGCGCGGAGAACACGGAAGTGCCGTCGATCGGATCACAGTGAAAGTGCTGCTGTGGAAAATGCGGTAAAACATCGACAGAACACCTGCACCCACACGATTACCTCACTGTTATGCTTTTCACTTTAACAGGGAACTGGCAGGAAGTCTCATCATCTTTTCTGCATGTAAATCCGCGTCGTGTGTCGTGTTTACCGTCGCCCCGTCGCGTTTCTGCTGTTCAAACTCAACATTATAGTAAATAAAGCTAACACTGCTGAGGGAAAGAGCATTTACAGCCTGACAGTGCAAACATTCAACACCTGACAACTCCTACATCACAGCAGCATAAGATGGCGTGCTCGCTGATCAGATATACAGTGTCGAGAGAGAGAGAGAGAGAGAGAGAGAGAGAGAGAGAGAGAGAGAGAGAGAGAGTGTGTGTGTGTGTGTGTGTGTGTGTGTGTGTGTGTGTTGTGTTATTGATGCTGCTTCAGTTTCAGACTCAAACCATCATGAAGGATCTGTTAATGTGCTGATAATCAGCCGAGTCCGTGTTAAAGAGTCTGTTCACCACTAAAGAATATCTGCACTGTGAACCCTCAACAAAGATGCTCTGTGTGTCTGTGTGTGTGTGTGTGTGTGTGTGTGTGTGTGTGTGAGAGAGAGAGAGAGAGAGATAGTTTGGTGTAGTGTGAAGCACGTGAGTGTGTGTCTCAGTTTGAGTTTGTAAATTGTCAGAGTGTGTGTGTGTTAAACTGTGCTGTTTCCCAGAGAGGATTGACAGTTGTTTTGATTGTGTGTGTGTGTTTGCGTGTACACAGGTGTGCTTGAGCGAGACATGGTGCCTGAACATGGGAAGCAACAGAAACGCTCGCCGCAGCCGTCAAACAGCGAGGCCGACGCAGATGGATCCTTTGTGTTTGAGGCGCAGGAGGCCTGGAAGGATTTCCACAACTCGCTGCGGCAGTTCTATGAGAACGGAGAGCTCTGCGACGTCACGCTGAAGGTGTGTGATGCTGTGTTCACACTCTTGCTCACATCTGACAGACCAGCGTTCTGCATCCGCTCTCAGCCGGGGTTCATGTACAGCGCTGTATGAGGAGCAGACGTGTGTGAGTGCAGCACACTCTACAGCCTACAGGGGGCGCTTTACCTGTAAACCCTGAAACTTATGACGCTGCAGAGGTTAATGACATGAAGCTGAGAGTGTAGAGACACACACACACACACACACACACACGCACGCCCACACACCCACGCACGCAGTATGGTAAACACAGCAGATCTGTTTATTGATCATCCTTTAGTAGCGCAGGCTGTGTGGAGCGAACGCTAACTGTGTTTTTGTTTCCCTAAAGGTGGGGAACAGGCTCATACCATGTCACAAGCTGGTTCTGGCCTGCGTGGTGCCGTATTTCCGTGCCATGTTCTTGTCAGACATGGCCGAGGCCAAACAGGACCTGATTGAGATCCGTGATTTTGATGCAGACGCCATCCAGGACCTGGTGCGGTTCGCCTACAGCTCTCGGCTGACACTGACAGTGGATAACGTGCAGCCGCTGCTGTACGCCGCCTGTATCCTGCAGGTGGAGCTGATCGCCCGCGCCTGCTGCGAGTACATGAAGGCGCACTTCCACCCTTCCAACTGCCTGGCCGTGCGCACCTTCGCCGAGAGCCACAACCGCGTAGACCTGATGGACATGGCCGATCGGTACGCCTGCGAGCACTTCAGCCAGGTGGTGGAGTGTGAGGACTTCGTCTGCGTCTCTCCGCAGCACCTGAAGACGCTGCTGGCCTCCAGCGACCTCAACATCCAGGCAGAGACACAGGTGTACAACGCTGCAGTCAAGTGGCTCAGAGCAAACCAGAAGCACCACGCCGTCTGGCTGGACCAGATCATGGCTCAGGTGAGGGAGTTGAGGGTCAGGTGAGGGGGTCATGGTCAGGAGAAGCAGTCGGGTGAGGGTGTCGGGGGTCGACGGTCAGGTGACGGGGTCATGGTAAGGAGAAGGGGTCAGGTCAGGGGATCATGGTCAGGAAAAGCGGTCAGGTGAGGTTGAGGGTCAGGTGATGGGGTCATAGTAAAGAGAAGGGGTCAGGGGATTATGATCAGGAGATGCTGTCAGGTGAGGGGGTTGGGGGTCAAGGGTCAGGTGAGGGAATTACGGTCTGGAGAAGCGGTTAGGTGAGGGGGTCATGGTCAGGAGAAGTGGTCAGGTGAGGGGGGTGGGGGTCAGGGGGCAGGTTTACAAGGACATGTCAGTACATAAGGCTACACAACTCTTGAGTTCTCTTGCTGACAGATGAAGCTTGATGAATATAAT